GCTCAATGCAGGAGCTGCCCTCTGGTGGTCAGTGAGCTCCCACATGGGGGAGCTCTGCTCAGCCACAAGCCAGGCTGATGGCTGCCAGTACAGCGGTGGTGGTGGGAGCCTCTCCTGCCTCCTCAGCAGCGCTAAGGATGTCTGACTGCAGTTTAGGTCTGCTCCCCCCTGGCAAGTGGACATCTCCTGAGGGCTGCCGGGCTGCTAGAGGGATGTCTGATTGCCATCTTAGGCCCAATCCCCCGGGGAGTGGGCCTAAGCCAGCAGGTGGTCATCCCCCGAGGGGTCCCAGACTGCGAGAGGGCACAGGCCGGGCTAAGGGACACCCCCCCCCAGTGCACAAATTTTTGTGCACCAGGCCTCTAGTAAATTATAAAGGTCTAGGATTAAAACATAAGTGGGGATAAGGATGGAAGAATACCATGCAATGTTATATGTTCAGACAAAATAGAAATAACACAAACTTATTTATGTTTGTTAATCCTCACTCAAGGATATTTTTCTTTCTTTTTTAAAAATATATTTTTATTTATTTCAGAGAGAAAGGGAGAGGGAGAGATAGAAACATCAATAATAAGAGAGAATCATGAATTGGCTGCCTCCTGCATGCCCCCTACTGGGGATCGAGCCCACTACCCGGGTATGTGCCCTGACGGGAAATCGAACCATGACCTCTTGGTTCATAGATCCACGCTCAACTACTGAACCATGCCAACTGGGCTCAAAGATATTTTTCCATTGATTTTTGGAGAGTGGAAGGGAAATGGGGGGGGGGAAGGGGGGAGAGAGACAGAGAGATCTGGAATCTTTTGGTGCCCCCAACCCAGGCTGGGGATTGAACCTGCAATCCAGGGACCGGTCCTTGACCGGAAACGAACCCACCACCTTCCGGTGCTTGGGAGGAGGCTCTACCAATGAACACCACCAGCCCAGCAACCGTTAGTACTTTAAAACAAAGTCCTTCAGGTTCCCCAACGTTGGGAACTGAGACCATTAAGATGGTGTTAGCCCGGCCTGCTTCCCCAGCCGCGCATGCGCACTGGTCAGCGGAAGGCGCAGAACAATCACATCATAAATAGCGCAAGCACACCATCTGGTGGAAGGCGCAAAGAAGTGATGTCATCGGGTACCGCGCATGCGCTCTGGCTTGTGGAGAGGCGCGATGTTGTGACGTCATCGGGGCGCCGGAGCGGGAATCCAGGACAATCCTGCGAGGGTGTGCACTCTGGACAGCATGATGGTCTGCGGGCTCCGCGCGCGCACCTGCTGGGCTCTGCGGTCCTTCGCTGTTAGCAGGCGAGCGCTGCGCTCCAGTCCGCGCACCCACGCTTTCGCCAAGGAGCTCTTCCTGGGCAGGATCGAGAAGGTAAGGCAGAGCCCGGCGGGCCTTTCGTCTCTGCCTCCCGTCTTTGCTCTTATCAGGAAAGACTGGAGTAAAGCTTTTTCCTAGTCCTTACTTGACAAATACACCCAAGGGACGGGGAGTGCTAAAATTCCAGATTCCTGAGGCCCTCTAGGTCATATAATTTTTCCTAGAAAAAGGAAGTGTCTTTCCATGGCTGGGGGCCTGAGAATCTGCATCTGACAAATGGTCCAGCTAATTTTTTAAATGTTTTAATTGATTTCAGAGAGAGATAGAAGCATCAGTGATGAGAGAGAAACATTGATCAGCTGTCTCCTGCTTGCCCCACACTGGGATCAAGCCCGCAACCTAGGCATGTGCCCTGACCTGTAATGGAACCAGTGACCTCAAGGTGCATGGGTCACATTCAGCCTTTGAGCCACACTGGCTGAGCTGTCTCTGAATCTTTTTATCTCTTCTTTGACCCAGTTATTGTTTAGTAGTTATTGTTTAATATCCGTATGTTTGCTTTTTTCAGTTGATTTCCAATTTCAAAGCATGTGGTTGGAGAATATGCTTGGTATGATTTCAGTCTTCTTAAATTGCTGAGGCTAGTTTGGAGTCCCAACATATGGTCTATCCTTGAGAATGATCCATGTGCACTAGAAGAAGAATATATAATCTAGTGTTTTGGGATAAAAGTCTCCGTAAATATTGATTATGTCCATTTGGCCAAATGTGTCATTTAAGGCTGATAGTTCTTTATTGATTTTCTGTTTGGATGATCTGTTCATAGTGATTAGTGAAGTATTTAAGTCCCTCACTATCATTATGTTTTTACCAGTTTCTCCCTGTAGTTCTGTTAGTAGTTGCTTTATATATTTTGGTGCTCCCAGATTGGGTGCGTATATATTAATGTGTTATGTCTTCTTGATTTAATGTCCCCTTTATCTCTATAAAGTGTTCATATTTGTCTATTACCTTTTTTATCTTGAAACCCATTTTGTCATGGCTATCCCAGCTTTTTTCTGGATACAGTTTGCTTGGAGTATCAGATTTCACCCCTATGTTTGTCTTTGCAGCTGAAATAGGTCTTCTGAAGGCTGTGTATTGGGTTTCCTTTTTTTTTTTTTTTTTTTTTAATATATTTTATTGATTTTTTACAGAGAGGAAGGGAGAGAGATAGAGAGTTAGAAACATCGATGATGAGAGAAACATCGACCAGCTGCCTCCTGCACATCTCCTACTGGGGATGTGCCCTCAACCCAGGTACATGCCCTTGACCGGAATCGAACCTGGGACCTTTCAGTCCGCAGGCCGACGCTCTATCCACTGAGCCAAACCGGTCTCAGCTTGGGTTTCCTTTTTGATCCAACCTACTACTCTGTGTCTTTTTATTGGAGTTCAGCCTATTTACATTCAGTGTGACTATTGATATATAATATAATAATTTTATTTTTTGTTTTCTTGTAGCTCTGTGTCTCCATTGTTAAATTTCCCTTATGTTCTGTTAATTTCATTTTGATGGCATTCTATGATTTTTTTCCTTGTTTCCTCTTTTTTTTAATGTTATATTGTTAGGTGTCTCAGTTTTAGATTTTTTTTTTTGTAGCTACCATTAGGTTTATGTAAAAGAAAGTTTAAAATATACAGTAGTTCTTTTTATTCCTGATTGCATCTTATCTCCATTTCCATGTGCAAATTCAGACCTTTACCCACTGTCCTTTTATGTTTTGTTGTCACAAATTATCCCTTTTTATGCTGTTTATTTCTAAATTGCAGTAGCGCTTTTTTCTTTTTTAAAATTTTTTTACTCCTTTAACCTTTATGTTACATTTAAGTGTATAGTACCCTATTCTGAACAATGGTAGCAATTTTCTGCTTCTGTCTGTTAGTCATCTTACTCATAGTTGTGTATCTTTTTGTCTTTTTGTTTCAGGTAGAAGAACACTGTTGAGTATTTTGTGTAATGCAGGTCTTGTGGTGGTACATTCCCTCAGATTCTGTATATCTGTAAAGTCTTTATTTTTTCCTTCATATATAAAGGATAATTTTGCTGGATATATTAATCTTGGCTGATGATGTTGCCCTTGATAATTTGAATATTTGGTTCCACAGCAAATATTGTATCTTGGTGTGAGCCTCTTTGGGTTTATCTTATTTGGGACTCTGTGATTTATGGATTTGTGTGTCTTTTTTCTTCACCAGGCTAGAAAATTTCTCTGTTGATGTTTCTTCAAATAAGTTTTTAATCCTTGCTTTCTCTCTTTTCCTTCTGATACCCCTATAATGCAAATGTTGTTAGCTTCATGTTGTCCAAAGTTCCTTTAAATGATCCTCATTTTTTAAATTCTTTTTTCTTTTTGCTGCTCTGATTGGTTTTTTTTTCTTCTACCTTTTCTTCCAAATTGTTGATTTGATTCAATCTACTCTTTATTCCTTTCAGTTTATTCTTGATCTCAGATATGGAATTTTTTTTCTTGAGAAATGTTTTTGGTGGTCTGTATGTCCTTTTTCATGCTGGTGTAGTTATCTCTAAGTTCCTTGAGCATCTTTATAACTCTACTAGAGGCCCGGTGCACAAAAATTTGTGCACTCGGGGAGGGGGGCGGGAGAGGGGGTCCCTCAGCCCATCCTGTGCCCTCTCGCAGTCTGGGACCCCTCAGGAGATAATGACCTGCTGGCTTAGGCCTGCTCCCGGGTGGCAGAGGGCAGGCCCAATCCCTAGGTGCAGCCCCTGGTCGGGCTCAGAGCAGGGCCGATTGGGGAGTTGGGGCGCTGCCCCCTGTCATGCACAGAGCAGGGCGGATCGGGAGGTTGCGATGCCACCCCTAGTCACGCTCAGGGTACAGACGATTGGGGGGTTGGGGCACCGCCCCCTGTCAAACTCAAGGCAGGGTCGATAGGGAAGTTGCGGCGCCACCCCCTGTCACACACAGAGCAGGGCCGATCAGGGGGTTGGGGCGTTGCCCCCTGTCATGCACAGAGCAGGGCCCATCAGGGGGGTTGGGACTCCTTTTATGTCTACCTTTCTACTAAAAGCTTCACTAGATGTCTAATAGGCATCTCAAATTTGTATATGCAAAACTAAGATCCTGGTCTCCCAACCCAATCCTGCTCCTGCCACCAGTCTTCATCATAGATGGTGGCAACTCTATTTGCTCAACTTGTTCAGACCAAGTTCTTGGAATCACCTTTGATGCCTCTTATTCTCATACTCTCAACTAATCTGACAGCAAATCTTGTTTTCTCTACCTTCAGGTTAATATTTAGAATCTGTCCGATTTTAAGCACCTCACTACCATTGCCCTGATTCAGGTCAATATCATCTCTCACAGCATTATAGGGGTTTGAGCAGAACATGGCATCTGAGATGCTTAGAATTTAAGAATAGAAGAAGATCTTCAAGGCCATCTAAACCAGTAGTTGTCACACTGCCCTCAGTTGGATCTTTACTTTTCATGGAAGTGCCCCTGGGGCTACTGCTGGGACCAGTGGGAAGCTGAATGGGAGATACTTGGGTGACCTTTCTCCCCTTCTACATCACAGACAGAGCAGCTTGAGTTTTATCTGTTTTACATGTTTGGTTTCTGTACTAAATTTAGTTGAAAATGTTTTACTGCTTTGAAACATTTGAAAACTGCTGATGTTAAAATTGAACCCAGCACCCATGAGGCACTTCATTCAATTTTTAAACATTGATATCAGAGATTTCCTTTTACATATACTTGAGATCTCTCTTCTTGTAGCAGTTATTATTTGGTTGTGCTTGAGGGCCAGCTAGTTCCCAGCCTGTTCTCTTCTCATCTGGAGTGCTCATTAGTACCAGAATAATTGTACAGTGGGGCCTTGACTTACGAGTTTAATTCGTTCTGAGACCAAGCTCGTTAAGGAGCTCGTTAACTCAAATTGCTCTATCAACTCAATGCAAAAAATCGGCCGAGAGACAGCTGGTATCTCAAAAAACTCGTTAGTCGGGACACTCGTAAGTCAAGGCCCCACTGTATAATCTTCCTCTAACACAGCTCATTGCACAAGGCCCAGGTGAAACCATGAGGCTGTGAATGCAGGTGCAGTGAGTTGAGCCTCTGTATATTCAGCTAAGGGGCTGGCTTTGTTCTGAGAGGCTGCAAAGTGAGCAGAGTCAGCATTTTTTTTTCTTTCTAGACCAGTGGTCGGCAAACTCATTAGTCAACAGAGCCAACTGTTGATATTACAGTATAATGATTGAAATTTCTTTTGAGAGCCAACTTTTTTAAACTTAAACTATATAGGTAGGTACATTGTTATTAACTTAATTAGGGTACTCCTAAACTGGCCTTTGCTAAAAACGTCCTCAATCTGATTGAGGTACGTTCGCTGAGGTTGACCCCTTCCAACTCTCCCATCCACACTCGTATACTTGTTTCATCTATCTCCTTTCATTCATCCTTTCTATATGTCCACCCCCCACTTCTTCTAACGCCACTTCTTCAAAATAGACTCGCCCAGGCCGAAAACCGACTTCTGCGCATGGGCCACGAAGTTTCAATCGCACTGTATGTGCGCGTCCACATGTGGTATTTTGTGGAAGAGCCACACTCAAGGGGCCAAAGAGCCGCATGTGGCTCGCGAGCCACGGTTTGCCTACCACTGTTCTAGACAGTCTTGAGGGCAGGGTCAGTGGGCTTGAAAGCAGGAATTCCTTTAAGTCAGCTTTCACTTTTGGGTAGGGCCCCACATATAAGCCTTTAGTCATGGAGCCTAAGGGGAGAAAACAGATTTGGGAGTATGTTACTAGAGTGGGCAATGTTTTGTGGCTGATTAGATATTCAAGGGCTGGAGGGGAAAGATTGAAGATTCCTTTGCTTTGAAGACCTGTCTGGAGACACTTGGTGAGAGGTGCCATGAAGAGAGGCAGGGCTTCTGGAGGCTGGCAGCTTGTGATCTGGTACATCACTTCTCAGCAGCTGCAATTCCAAATCCAAATACTCATGTCATGCTGGCACAGTAGTTCTCAACCTTCCTAATGCCGCGACCCTTTAATACAGTTCCTCATGTTGTGGTGACCCCCAACCATAAAATTATTTTTGTTGCTACTTCATAACTGTAATTTTGCTACTGTTATGAATCGTAATGTAAATATCTGATATGCAGGATGTATTTCCATTGTTACAAATTGAACATAATTAAAGCATAGTGATTAATCACAAAACAATATGTAATTATATATGTGTTTTCCGATGGTCTTAGGCGACCCCTGTGAAAGGGTCGTTCGACCCCCAAAGGGGTCGAGACCCACAGGTTGAGAACTGCTGTGCTGGCAGGAATATCTGGAGCCCAAAAAGCCAAACGGACTAAGCACACAGCAGGATGATTTTAGGTAATATATAGTGATGGCCCAATGGGGAATTCTGGGCTAGTCAGAAATATTGACCACTCATTGGTTTGAGATAGAGATTTGAAGCTAATTTGTTTTTCAGTTATGAGGTCTGATACAAATAACTACAATTACTTTTATTTCCAGGACATACTATCTGGTTGATTTGATGTCAGCTAACACTAACACAGGCTGTGTGACTTATCCAAGTCACACGTCTAATAAGTGGCAGAGCCAGGGCTGAATTAAGGTTGATGTGGCTCAACATCTGTGCTTCCTTCAGTGACCCTGTTACCTTGCACATTCAAAGTAACAGCTGTTATCCAGCAGGAGGAATGGAGGCTGGAGTATGCAACTGGATGGGAACCTGACAAGATGTCAGACCTTGTAACCACACACTATGCTTTTGTCAACTGCAGCATCTTTGAACTCACAAAATAACTAGTGTAAAATTTTACATTTTAGTAAAGAGCTTTCACACCAGTTATCTTCCATGATTCTCACAATGACATTGAGTAAATATTACCTGCATATTACGGGTGAGAAAATGGAAGTATGGGGAGGTAGAGATTTGGTGAAGGCCACACAGTTAGTAAGCTGCAGATAGAACCCAGGGCTTTGAAATGTTAGTCCAGGGCTCTTTGTTTCATGGGGAAATCATCATAACTTGTTATTGATAAGGAAAGCAATAAAAATTACTAGTAAAGTTGCTTGAGTAGGGGAGGGGGATGTATCTGGGTGGTGGAGACTAACATACAATTCCTGTATCTTAAGCACCTTCTGTGGTTTGCTTTCTAATTCTTTTAATTGGTAATGTTCTGCCTACCAGATATGGGACCTAGCCAATCTGTTTCCTTTCGTTTTGACTGATATTACCACTATGGAAAGTTGCTAAAATTCATTTTTACTAATTATCATTTTTAGAAAGAAGTTTTCCCATTTCCAGAAGTTAGCCAAGATGAACTTAATGAAATCAATCAGTTTGTGGGACCCATAGAAAGATTCTTCACTGAAGAGGGTATGTATGATTTTCTTTACCATTACCAATTTCCATTTTAAGGGTGATGCTTTGACATTTACATTAGAAGTTATATACAGAAGGGAAGTTCTCTGGAGTATCATTAATCATGGGGAAATAGTGTTTATTGGCAGTATTTTGCTTTGAGGATTATCCCAATGGCTGTTTAATTATATTTCAACTAGTGGCCCGGTACATGAAATTTGTGCAGGGGGGCGGGGGGGGGGCTTGTCCCTCAGCCTGGCCTGCACCCTCTCCGATCTGGGACCCCTGGAAGGATGTCCTACTGCCAGTTTACAGGGATCGTGCCTAAACCAGCAGTCGGACATCCCTCTCTCAATCCAGGACTGCTGGCTTCTAACCACTCACCTGCCTGTTTGCCCCTAACCACTCTGCCTGCCGGCCTGCTCGCCCCCA